AAGAGAGAGAGAGAGAGAGAGAGAGAGAGAGAGAGAGAGAGAGAGAGAGAGAGAGAGAGAGAGAGAATCATAGAAACAGGAAATAAATAGTAAAGTATAAATAGGTTCGTGGGGAACCCCATGCCATTTTGATTCATCCGGTATGGGTGTCAGCAGGCTTCTAGCTGTCGCTCTCCATGTTCCAGTGTTAAGAGGGGAGTGTTTGTAATTTTCTTTAATATTCAAAATCGGAAGATGCCTATTTTCATACGAATGGACTATTGAAAAACATGCATTTCATTTGATTAAATATTATGGTTTCAAGAATAGTGTCAACTCGTAAGGGAGTTGAGAAAAAAAACCAATACAAGGTTTGTGTAGTGCCGTCCACCCTTCCTTGTCCTCATCTGCAACACTTGCGCCACTCTTGATCACACGTGCGGCTACAGATTCATGTCCATTCTGACAAATTATATATAGTGCCGTCCGTCCGTTCTCATTAAAAGCTGTAACACTAGCGCAACTCTTGATCACAAGTGCGGCTACTTATTAATGTCCATTCTGACAAATTATATGCACTGCCGTCCGTCCGTCCGTTCTCATTAACAGCTGTAACACTTGCGCCACTCTTGATCACAAGTGCGGCTACAGATTAGATAATGTATAAACAACCTGTAGATCAATCATCAAACCTTTTCAGTCATGGAACTAACCATATTGACAATGACAGTGTATTCGTATGGATGCATTGTATTGGTATCATGCACAATCCGAAAATACACTCCACCCTGGCAGGTATTTCCACTCCAATTGTCCGTACTAATTGCAATTGCCAGGTGACGGTAGTTCACGTCCCTATATTTTCAGTAAGTAGTTGGTGCGGTATGGGGAACATGATGAGGTACCCAAAGGACCAGGACAAACTACGTAGGTATCATTCATGGTGTCATTGAACATCAGCATATGTCTGTGCACATGAGAATTGGACATGTTGCCATTGGAATCAACATCAGTGCTTATCATATTTCTCTCAATATGATCTTGTCTTGGAACAGCATAGTACTCCTTGCGTATCTGACAGTCCTCAGGTTGTGATTTTGACATATTTCATCACTCTTGGACATCCTATGAGAGTTACTTGATGAAAAGAAACAGTTGGTGTCTGTGAGCAGATCCCCCAAGGGAAGGCTATTTGTTTTTTCCATATCATCTGTTGTGAGATCAGGATTTTAACTTCATTTTTATAACAGACACTTGCACACATGGGACATCTATCACAGACATTGTGTCTGGACGCCCCCATGGTTTTGCAGGTTAAAATAGACCCCAAGAGTCAATTGTGTACAGACCACCGAAACATAGATGGGATGTAGGTGTCTGTCTGGCGTTTTACAACAAAACAAAGTATACTTTTCTTTTAATATCAATTTAACGCCGATTGTGCATTGGGTATGTGTTATTATATCTGGTGTCTGAAAATGATGTTATTACCTTACATTTATGATTTATCAATAAACATATGTAACATGAATTGTAGCCCTTAATTCCCATTCGTTTACTACCACTGTATGTTTCATATAAATGACAAAAGAAAAAGCCATCACAATAGATACAACAAAACAAAGGAATTAAACTTTACTCAAATAGAAAATTGATTTATAGTGAGTGAGTGAGGGGACGCAACTGTGCACAGCGAATCGCGGCGCCTTAGATGACTGGGCCACCCGTGCCCCCAAAATTGATTTATATATGACAAGACAGTTTTATTAGCCAGTTCACAAAAGACACTTCACTTCCTTCATTGACGTCGGAGGTTGAAGGAGAGCGCTCGTTCGCCATGAACAAATCCCATTGAGCAAGACACACAAATGTTTATGGAATGTTACAACTAAACAAGGGATCCTTTAAAGTTTGGTGTTTACTTGGCCCTGGGTATAATATAGGTGCCCGGAATATTAAACCGGAATCCCCACGGGGCACAACAATATTGCGAAACGAGATACATGAGTATCTGTCAAAATGTAGCAGTTGTTTATTTCATTGAAATGCTGTTAACTATTTTCATATTGATGAGATATTAGAAGCCTATGTTTGCGCTTTGATATTTGAAGTGATAGGCCAGTTCCGTATCTTTCAGGTTTATTCGTTGAATTAACATAAACATACATTCGGATATTTCGAATTGTACACATATATATAGCGCCATCGAAACATTCCTAAAATAATAAAATAATTCGGATAGCTCTCCGTCATTTACACCTGAGATTGAATCATTTTCTGTTATAACTCGCCACCCCAGTGCTGATGGCCATGTAAGACATGTCCATGTATTTGTACGTAAAAGATCCTGTATTATTTAGTGTTTGGCAGGGTAAGTCGTTGACGCATTGCCGCTCGGAACAATTACTTTGTATTGATAGACTTGCCGAAATCGTTTCGACTTAAGTCATGATTGAATTGATATACTAAACAGCATTCAAAGATTAATTAGAAGCACATTAGAGATACACTTTTTTCAACGGTTATTAAGAATATACCCTGGACACAAACAATACCGTGTTAAAACCATTTTCCATTTGATGTTGATGAACATGATTTATGTGGTTTGTAGGATAATATTACCAACGCAGTGCTTCGTCTAACAAGTCGAACCAGAAATATATTATTTATAACGAACCTTGTCTGTCTCTCTTGAATGTGGTTAACCGGCTCAGTGTCTATTCTCTGTAATGGAAATGTTAACAGTTATCTAACTGTATATATGGAATACTAGATGTACAAAATGTACGTTTTGATTGTTCAGTATAAGTGAGTAGGGTTAAAAGGGTTCATGTTAAAGTAGTGAGTGTGTATTGGTTAACGGTATTACATTTATATTAAGACGTAGGGCACGGGGGCTTCCAGCCGTCTCAGGTGCCGTAATTCGCTGTGCAGAGTTGCGTCCATTGGTTCCTATGGTTCTAGGTTTTGTCAGCGCCGTACCCGTGCTCGTGAGAAACGTTTAAGACTTGCATCATTTCGGGATTTAGTACACGCCGTGATATGACTGGAATACTGTTCAAAGTGGTGTCAACACAATTTACGCACTTAAATTAAGCCTTTATCAATACGTGTCAAGTTGGTGAGGGAGGTAAGCCTGAAGTTATTACTAATATACACACGAGCACAACACCCAATTCAAATGTTGCTATAATGCAATTGACCTAATACAGCTTTGGTTATGTAAATATTACACTGTACCTAAAAACATTAACAGGTAAATGAAGCAATGGTTATTTAAGAATGTCTTGGACCTACCTGATACCGACATCCAGGCCAACATCGAAGAGTATTTCCCATTTTAAATGTATACACTATGACTGCATCTACTCCTGATATGGAAAATGTTGATCGCTTATAAAGCTGGAGATCTGGAATGACACAGACTGTGCACTAGCGTACTACTTATAGCGGTTAGAAGGGGATTCCCCTTCGAAGGTGACTATAGCTTTGGACGGGACACAACGGATTTCAGGTCCCGGATACAAGTCTATGGTCTTGGATTTGAGGTGAGGGGAGTAAATTGCGTGTGTAGTGATGGTATAAAAAAGCGTTGGATATTGAATGTAATCGTGTTTCATTAAATTGTCTACTACGCGATTTCATGTTTGCGTACATGAATCATTAGTACGGTTCCTGTCACATGTGCAATCAATTCAGTTACTTGTTTAGTTGCTTATCTTAATGATCGGCTGTAGTGTAAGCTTTGCTCACGCCAATACCTGTCTTTGGGTCCTTAATATGAGTCTGAAGGTCACAGGCCAAGATTGCTACTTTATACGACAACATTTTAAATACTATCACACATATCATCCTGTCCTGAAATATTGAAATTTAAGACCTGCATAATAAATCAACAACAACAAAAATCATTTCAGTTACGCAGCTGTAAGCTTTAATATCATTCACATTATATATATTTTTCAACTACAATTTCATGATTGTCCACGTCATCATAAAGCATAATAAACTACATTCTATAATATATTGGATATAACTAGATTGTCACATTTAAGGCTATGATATATTATTTCTTCACATAATACATTTGTTGGTAATATTTATCTTCCTATGCTTCATTTTTTGCAATATTTGCAAACATCACCTGTCGTCAAAGGATTTTGTTAACATCTTTAAAAAAGTAAACATATAAATCTATTTTGTTTTGGTTAGAAAGTGTCCTATTGTATAAAAATCAAAACGAGTTGCACTTTATTTTGCCTTTTTACCACAGTGCCTGTGACTAATTTCCTCCATTTAAACTGCTCATACAAATACCCACATGCAAAGATATACTTCAATAGTCAATAATTATTCATAAATTACACATAACCATGAAAATAAGAAAGTATTCATAAGCGAACTGTAAGTTGTTATCCGGGTTTGTTCAGCGTTACTATGTCATACATTGCTCCATTTAACAACTATGTCCGACGACGACGCAATAACACTGCCACCGGAGCACATCGCAAGACAGTTTAAATCAACACAAGTAGGGCAGATAGTAGTGCTCTTATTAACTGTTTCTTAAATACAAGCGATACGTAAAAAACTCTGGTGTTTTCCCCACTTCTGGTCGCTGCACACGTTTGGACAACGTACAGCGGACTTCGGATTTCGGATTTTCACATACAAGGCAATGATACGGGGATATCATAGGCATTAAATCCATGAAAATAATGAAACGTTTTACATAAACATGTCTATCTGTATAACAGGGGTTCATGAATCTGAAGCTATACTCGGTTGCCTGACGTCAAATGTCTCCTTGTTTATTCAAACCGTTCTGCTTTCAATTGGGATATGATAATGACATGGATGTGTATAATGTATTCTGTGACAGGGCGTTACAGCAGAGCGGTATTCATTGAATGTACCCGTATTACAGGCAGCCAACCGTCATGTCGTATATCAAGTGCCACGTCACTGCAGTCCTAGTTTCTCTTTCGTTATGCGTTGTACATAAAGGGGGCGCGGACATAGTCACACATCAGACATTGAGTAGACAGAGCTATGGATAGGGGGGACAGAGAGGTGATAGCTCCGTACTTCACGGGGAAGAACAAGGCACTGAAGCTCACTGAAGTGTTGGAAATACTGGAGAACCCTGATGATACACGGGCTATAGTAACACCCCCTGCTCAACCCCATGGAGGAGACGGGTACTTGTACAGGGTGGAGGCAGACTCGGCGGAAGGTAGGTTAAAGAGTGCATGTCTTGAAGTTTTAACATTAATAAAAATGCATAATCTGATGAGTATTAATAAAGGGAGGATTAATAATGGAATAAGACAGTATTAATGAAACACTAAATTTGATTATTTATGTTGTGGGATGTGGTGTGATGGGGTCGTATGGGTGGGTATTGGGAGCAAGTAGCAGGTGTCAAATAGTCAAAGGAGCCACAGACCAGTGAAGATCCGGGGAAGAATTTATAGGTCTTCAGCAACACCTGTTTGCCGTAAAAGGTGACAATACTTGTAGTAAGAGGCGACTAACGGGATCGGGTGGTCAGGCTCACTGACTTGGTTGATGCATGTCGTCAATCCCAATTGCGTGTATCGAGGCTCATGATATCAATCACTGGAACAAAAACAAACACACAAAAGACGGAGTGGCATTTGGAAGGAGGGTAGTCATTGTTTCTAAAATAGTCCTGGGCTCGAATCTCAGATTTGTCTTTTATGTGATTCTAGGCTTGTAAACGTCGATGACCTATGAAGATCTACGCCACTTTACGCCACTACTCCACTTTACCAAATGTTACTTTACTCATGCTTTAGCCTTCACAATGTAGAGATGAATAGCGACCTACTAGACCCACTGATCCCTATGAACAATACAAATATAGTTGACTAAACGTTCACATACTAGTATGCTGTGATCGCGATCGTGATATCAGTTATATTTACACACACGTAAGGTTTAAATATAACCCGCTATTGACACAGTCAACACGTATATATGGAATGACAGCTCATCGCTCGCACTTCGTGGCAATGAGCCGGATCTTGCAAGGGAATATACGTACTCGTGTTACCTGTAATGAAAAAAACGTTCCCGACTGCAACTCGTAAATAGCACCCCGATCTGAGGCCATGCAACGCACTACCAAGCTCTTTGTATTGATTCAGGTTGCAGATCAATGCACGTAGCTAGGCAGTGATAATGAAAACATTTTACGCTAAAAAGCATTGGCAGTTTCTCTTTCCAAACGCTACTTTTGATGCAGAAAAACAAAACAACTAAAGAATTGCACTTAAAGAACATACGATGAAGTTGATTGTCAATGTATTGATTGGGCCGAAAGCTATGCAAATATTCACTAAGAAAGTTTGATTGCATGTGCGGTACTGATCAGGTAGCAGATGCACTATAAATCCCTTGTACATAATATTGTGGCAACATTATTTAACATTTTGTGATATTTGTTACATTGTTTCATATTTACAAGTTTCAATTTATTCATAAATTAGAACGTGTTCTTGTCATCTTTGGTCTGAAGAAAGCCACCTTGAATTTAAATGTAAACTCACTTACAATTTGTGTCGACTTAGAACCTCTTAAATTTGGATTTAGACTGTTTGCCGTGAACAACGTTACATCCAGATTCGTCATTAGTTGACACTGTCTATAACCTTCACATTGTGTCCTTAATAATAGTTCGTTATTGATCATTCTGTTTGATGGTGGACGTGGATGTAGGCTTGATTCTGTGTTTATATTAAATTATGTTCATTGCAGCAGATACCAACTATAAACCAGGAAACATTGAATCAACTAACGCGAATTTTAGGGGGAAAACATGATCGAATCTGTATGTATATTATATGAATTATTTTTATTGCAGCAGATCCCAAATATATAACTCAAATATATATCCCAAATATATAACCGAAACTAACACCTAACCGACCGAAATGACGTCTTGTAATCATTAAGTTAAGTTATTATTGCTCTACAGATTCCTGGGAAAATGACAACTACTACTTCAAGCACAATGGTTCTCGTGAACAGCCTAAACCTTCACCCAAGGTTCTCAAGCAGGACTTCGTGGCTTATAAAAGTGATGGCACCACCACCGAGGCTTTTAAACGACAGGCATACAACTTGCTCGAGGGAGACGTGAAATATATATTAGTACACTACATTGGGAAATGCACAGTAGCATTATCCGATCCAAAATATGAGAAGCGTTTGAATACAGCCCTCCACCATGAATCCCAGATAGTGAACAGTTACGCGATAATAGCTGGTTCTGGAGATGAAGATGGTGGAGATTGGGAGACCAGGGATATGGAATGTGATCATGATCGTGCAAATACTAACTCTCCTACTTTCCTGGCTTCCTTAGATGAAGTTAGCTCAAGGAAAAGGACACATGACCCTGATATGGTAAATCGTGTGAAAACTCCTAAACGTTCAGAAAACGAACAAGTAATTGAAAACAATTTGATAGACATCATAACCACCGAAAGTGTTAGTCATCAACATGATGAAAGACCGACCAACCTCAAGTCACTCACCGAATGTTTGCTGAACAAACGTACTCATATCGTTATCGCAAGACGTGTGTTGAAGCAGGCAAAATACTGGGAGAAAAGCACCAGATTTCCTACCTTTGACAGTCCATGTTTATCATTAATCGCTGACATCGACTGTAAATGGAGAAATGACCTCACAGAAGTCAGTGACAGGTTGAAGTGGTCACGACTTAGCCCGGATGTTCTCGGCGAAGACCAGTGCAAGGATACGTATCACAGACTGGTATCTGCTGTCATAGTAGGTGCATATCACATGAAGACGGACATCACAGAGTTTGTTGACACCCTCTATATGTACCCATCACATGTGATGGGTGACAACGCCTTAACAGATGACGACGATGGGACGGATCCTCAGATGTGCAAGGTGGGGCCCCACAACATACAGAGGAATCATCTCCTCGATCAAACAGCATGGCTTGGCGATGAGGTAATTTTTACGATTTCGTAGCTTATATTTTGCTCTTTATGTATTATATAATTTTATTCTGAAAATCCTTTCTAAAAGTTTAACATTACTTGGACAAATTAAAGGTACAAAATCGACCAGGACCATCTTCCTTCTCGGTCGTGGTCGGTAGGCCATGTCAAATAATGATATCAGGAATAACATTATTAAAAATGAAAATTGTACAATATTGATAGATGATAAAAAGACCATTTGTTCCAATAGTTGAAATTGCTTACAGGCCAAATAACATTAACTCGCTCAATCGTTATTTGAGCAGTTCAGACAGGATATATGTTGCAATAATGTTTTTCTAAATTGCTGGTTGTAACACGTGACGAAGGGGTTTTGTATACAGGAAACTAAGGTTATAACGAACTCAAAGGGACTGCTAATTTTAGTTCGTTATAACCGTAGTTCGTTATAAGCATATATATAGCATAACTACAGCAAATAGTCGGGACCAAAAAAGTAAGTTCGTTATATCCGTCAGTTCGTTATAAGCGTGTTCGTTATAACCGTACTTTAACCTCCATTGCAGGTGATGAATGCATACATGCATGTCCTGAAGACCACGTGGAATAGGATCCACAGCCGCCACTGCGCTGTACTTGATTCCTTCCTTGTCAACCATTGGGAGAAAGACGAGTATGACGTGCACCCCTGCAAGGTTGGACGAGCATAGTCATGTACATTGTATAAAGTGATGAGTAAAGTACTGGTATTAGGTTTTCGTCCAAAGATGGAAATTAAAGAGACTTTTGAAGATCTTCGATTCGGTTATGGATCCTTGTTTAGCATCTACTTTAGGCTCTAAGAGATATGAGGTCGGTTTTGGAGACAGTTCATTGAAGATCTAGAGCAGCAGTTTTCCTTTTCCAAGAATATCATCACTGGACATATGTCAACATGCTATGTGCAGTAAACTACGGTTATAACGAGGTTTAATGGCCGCTTTCAACAGTGTTCCAATTATTTCAGTGTGTCAGATTAATGTGGGAGGAAAGCAAGAAGTGATGCAGGTTTCAGACATTAACCACTTTAGTTATTGAGTTTGAAATGTTCAATATCATAGCCATTTCAACATAAGTATCATACGCATGTATCCAAATCAGAGGGAAGTAATCGTATGGATATGCTAATATCAGTAAACTTGATCAAATGGAAAAGAACTTATTGTAAATTATAATACAGTAATCTGTAGATAGACATACGTCTATGTGGTTAAAGAGCATCAAATGAACCTTGCTTGATCAGGGTAAAACATTCAAGACCATATTATTTTCCTTTTCACCAAAACCTTTACTGTAAATAAAAGCGACATAACCCTTTCCTCATTCTAGCTTGTCCCCCATCTCAGTGGAGCTCCTTTTTTAATATAAATGTATGTGCTTCTTTCCTTTTTTGGAAACCAGGCGTTAGTCTGAAAAGCATTAAAATGTTTGGTTTGTATCAGTGACAAACACGATGCAATTCCATGTTTTGACTTTTGTACAATAATTATGTCTCTGTTTCTCGGGCGACCGGTTGACTTGTCTTTGCATGTGTTTGTGACAGGTGCCACCGGTGGACAGAATACGGTCACCTTTTGCGAACTGGTATTGTCACTATTTGCCAGTGATTTATTAGCACATGCTCGTGATATAGTCGGTATCATTCAAGGTGTTTGTTTTAATTATGGCAATGATTTTGCGGATTTATTTTATATTAGGAGGAACTTGGAACTTACACGTGGATCCTGATGCCAGTGAACATGCCACTGAATCAACACTGGGTGCTTCTGGTCGCCAATGCCCAGGATGGAACAGTGGGCGTGGTCAACTCTAAGCCTGTCCTTGATGTAGGGGACAAACTTATACAACATTGGAGGTAATTTGAGGGCGTGGTCAGCTATATGTAGAGATAAACCTTTATCATCCAAAACTGATATCGCTTGGGTGAGATCAAGTGATATATATAGTTTAGATATTGCTGCAACATAATTGCATCACACTGTTTTGCAGACCATAGTGACGTCATTGGTTACCACGACGTCACAAATGACATCACTAATGACTGCTACTGAAGCTGTTAGCAATACTTTTTACACTAAAGACACTGCGTATTACTGCTACAAACTGAAACAGCTGGCAGAATGATGTTGGATGATAAATTAAAGCTCACCCTTGTGTCTTTTGATGTCAAATATATCAACACTCGTTGATATTTTTTACTCTAAAAGACACTCTAGTGAGATTCTCTATGAACAACACTGTAAGTAGGTGGGCCGAACAGGTGATGTGGTCAACTCACAGCCTAAAATTGATGAAGACTACTGCGCTGACCAGAGCTGAGGTACACACTGATGAATGTCTGCTACCGATTTTGAAACAAAAGCTGCAATCTGGCTCAGCTACAAACATGTATAGTTAATCAGTCCTAAATGTATAGCGCTAGGTTGTAGGTGGGTTTGAGACAGGGGAAACAAATAGAGGTCGTAAACTATATCCTATATCTATTTCAGAAAATATACACGCTGTTTGAGGAGAGGTGATGGGTCAGTGATCACATGGACAAAGACAGAATATCCAGTACTGAGTCAAAGTGATGGACATAGCTGTGGCGTGTTTGTGAATATGGTACGTGAGCTAGATAAGATATATAAATCTTTCATTATTGAATAGTATCAATGATAAGAGCATATACAGCTAAACATGATGAATTGCTATAATTTATTATACAGTTTAAATTTCTCAACATTTCCACTTTTTTCACTAAATCTTCTGCAATTCCACCCAGCATGGGAACTATATTACAAATGTCAATCGCATGAGCATGCTCTTGGGTACTTGCCATTCAAATGTGTCATTATCAAAACTGAATATTTCTAGTAGTATCTTAACATACCATATCAGTATTAATATACTGATCCGTTTCTACGATATGTGTTTACTTAAATTTCCATAGTTCTAACAAGTTTTTTTATACAGTACGTTTGTATTAAAAACAAAAGCAAGAAGACAATGTGGACTTTTATTTTTAAATATAATATATTTCAATGTGTACAATGTATTCTGGCACTCTAAATCGACATTCAACGGGATCATGCTGTTGGAAAAAGGCTCTGAGTGAGTGAGTGAGTGAGCAAGCGAGCTTGGTTTCACGCCACCTTTAGCAATGTTCCAGCAATAGCGCGGTAGGGGACCCTAGAAATGGGCTTCAAACATTGTACCCGGGAATTGAACCCGGATCTTCGGCGTGATGAGTGAAAGCTTTGACCACTGGGCTACCCCACCCCACTGACCTGATATGAGACCGTATACCGTCAGTAACAGCCATTTAGGATTTTCATACACCAACTTCACATATTTCACAAGAATATTCTGGTACAGAAATCCGTTATTTGACACGGTTTTGTGTATTAATGAAATTAATTGTGATGTGCAAAGACATCAATTTTTAAAACAACTACGTTCGTGACTTCATTACTAAAATTAATAGAGGAAAAAGGCTCACAACAGAGGTCATTGAACATAAAAGATGACGTCACGAACAAGAAACGCAACGCCAATAACGTCACATAGCAGTAGACCAGATAGAAGTCCATTGTTAGGGATAAGCGGACTGCTATCAAGTTACAGTTGACACCAGACTCCTGTTAACATAGGTCAGTTTTATTATAATTCTATCTTGTTTAAACGTTAACGTTTAGTGCTTTATTTATTCCATTGTTAACGTTTGTGTTTACATTAGAGCGTTGTATCGGAAACACGCCTTGCCCAATGTTTTTCTCTTTACCTAATATGACACCGTATACTGCCACTATAGACACCTTAGGGGTCAAACACTGAAGAACAGTGCTTTATTTTTTTGTCAATTATTCGTCACCAGTGGCTCTATATTGTTACAGGCAGCAGAAGCTGTACTATCGGAGGTGCCTCCTAGTGTCATGAGAAGCTGCCACACTGTCTGGTACAGGAAGTACATCTGGCGCAGGTTGCGAGAATATGCTGGTGAACATATTCCGCCTGATACTGACACACATAGTGAGTATAAGTATTGTTTTCCAAATATACCTCAAAACCTAAATACATACAAAAGACAAAAAACATTCCATATTCATGGTACACAATCAGAGTCGACCATGTCATTGGCATGTGTTTATGAATCACTACCAAATAGTGTGTTCACGACAAGGTGAACATATCCTGCCAATAGCAATATATATCCCACAACAAAACTAGAATGTCCAAACCCACGTACCACTGGGCGTACTTGTTATGTCAGAAAACTTTGTTATTATTCGTTTCCCGCTAAATCTAGCATTGTCGTACCACGTTTATGTACTGTAAGACGCAAGTTAGGGACAATTCATAAAGCGGTTCAGTTTATATGTTTGTTTAACGCCCCACTCAGCAATATTCCAGCTATATGACTGCGGACTGTAAATAATCGAGTCTGGACCAGACAATCCAGTGATTGATATCATGATCATCGATTCACGCAATCGGGATACGCTGTTATGCTTAACCAAGTCAGCGAGCCTGACCACCCGATCCCGTTACAAGCATAGTCGCCTTTTACAGTCAAACATGGGAAGCTAATATTTGTTACATGTGTTGTGCTGAACTGAATATCAAGCATGTTGATGGTTAGGTTTTTAAGTAGTTCAATACTACTGAATAACTATATATTAGACAAATTGCATTAGAATGCTTAGAGACATTAACGTGAGTTATTAGATTGACACCCGCTGCTGGCTTGTTTCCAGCTATTCGAAAAACTAAAACCAGTAGCGAATCCACTGCTCCTGAATTAGCTGTATTACGCTCGGTCATTCGCCGGTCGGTCATCACCACAACGTGGGTTTTCTGTATCAGTTCTGGTGTTGCTGACTTCACAGGCCTTCCAGGACGGGGGTCGTCTTCAAGGCACTCCCTGTTACACTCAAACTCTGCTGCCTAACTCGTTATGTTGACAGTGGGACATACTTCCCTAGTGCTGTATTCATATCTTCATGGATGGCTTTTGGCTTTGTTATATAAATCCTTTTTTTCTGCAATTCCACTTGACTGCACATTCCTAAAATTTGTCCATTTTCCAAAGGTCACAGACCTCTGCTTGTTTTGATTACTTTTGCGCAATTCCTTCTATCAGAGTCTCAGATATCAGTCAACCATCGTTGCTGATACATTGCTGAGAGAATATTGTCATTCACTCACTCACTTATTATTCACATGTTTTTAATGATGAAGTAACGACTGGTATTATTTCCAATGTTGAAGTGAAATATTAAAGCAAGTACATCGTACATGTTACAGGTTGTATTGAAATGTTTGTAATATTTCTTGTTATTCAAGTACGAGTGAAGCCTGGCATACTGGAAAGTGTCCGGACCTCTATATTCGCAATGGGCAAAAACTTAATATTAATATTGCTATCACAGGATATTCAACAAATCCCGATTTGACGAAATATAACAATGTAGAGGGGTTGTATGTCGGTTATGATAAAGGAAGACAACTATTAAAATATGTTCCTAAATTCCGTGTTTTCACTTGTACCATATGTTACCATGTTTCGCAAATTACCAATTGACTTGCCTTTGCATGTGTTTGTGATGTGTATCACCAGCAGGACAGGATATGTTCGCCTTTTCGTGGACACCTGATATTTGATAGGGATTAAAAAACACATGCTCATGAACGGTCATAGAGGATCATCAAATATATGTGAATTTTATATGTTGGCACATGGTGTTTATTGTGGTTGATACATAGATTTACAAAGAAAACAGCATGTACAAAAGCCAAAATCTCTTTAATGTCGATTCAAGTAGTACACATTGTAAGCGTTAAAATATATAATGTTTAAAAGTGTGTTTATTTCAAATATATTGCTAAATGATGAATTAACCTGTTTGGTTCTGTATTTGAAATATCGTTGTCCTTCTTGCAGTGCTTGAGTCTCCATGTGAAAAGCTGACAAATAATCCAGCGTCAACGAATGCCAGAGCGTTTGCGTATACAATAGTCAATATGTCGACCAGCATAGATGATACGAGATACAGTTTGCATAAAGCAGCCAGCCTCGGTGATATAAGACGCATGCACTTGTTGATAGACCAGGGGGAGGATGTAGCAGGTACCGATGACCGAGGATGGACGCCTTTGCACTGTGCCTGTGAAAACGGTCACGTTACAGCTGTCTCTGATCTGGTTTCCAGGAGGACGGGCGACGTACAAAATAGAGCTCAACTTACATTGTACAATCCTGTCTTAGGAACGGAGTATACGTATCTAGCAGGAGCATATCCACTCCACATTGCTTGTTTAAATGGACATGAGAATGTAGCGCACATTTTGATCAATAGCGAGGCAAATGTTGACGACAAAAGTGAAAATGGAACAACAGCTCTTTTTCTTGCTTCTATTAACGGACATGAATCTGTAGCCGCACTTCTGATCAAGAATGGTGCAAGTGTTACAGCTGAGGACGAGGGCGGATGGACGGCACTATATGTAGCTTGTCAGAATGGACATGAATCTGTAGCCGCACTTCTGATCAAGAATGGTGCAAGTGTTACAGCTGAGGACAAGGACGGATGGACGGCACTATATGTAGCTTGTCAGAATGGACATGAATCTGTAGCCGCACTTCTGATCAAGAGTGGTGCAAGAGTTACAGCTAAGGAAAAGGACGGATGGACGGCACTACATGTTGCTTGTCAGAATGGAGATGAATCTGTAGCCGCACTTATGATCAAGAATGGTGCAAGTGTTACAGCTGAGGAGAAGAACGGATTGACGGCACTACATCTAGCTTGCCAGAATGGACATGAATCTGTAGCCGCACTTCTGATCAAGAATGGTGCAAGTGTTACAGCTGAGGAGAAGGACCGATGGACGGCACTACATGTAGCTTGTCAGAATGGACATGAATCTGTAGCCGCACTTCTGATCAAGAATGGTGCAAGTGTTACAGCTGAGGAGAAGGACGGATGGACGGCACTACATCTAGCTTGTCAGAATGGAGATGAATCTGTAGCCGCACTTCTGATCAAGAATGGTGCAAGTGTTACAGCTGAGGAGAAGGACGGATCGACGGCACTACATCTAGCTTGTCAGAATGGACATGAATCTGTAGCCGCACTTCTGATCAAGAATGGTGCAAGTGTTACAGCTGAGGACAAGGACGGATGGACGGCACTATATGTAGCTTGTCAGAATGGACATGAATCTGTAGCCGCACTTCTGGTCAATAGTGGTGCAAGTGTTACAGCTGAGGACAAGGACGGATGGACGGCACTATATGTAGCTTGTCATAATGGACATGAATCTGTAGCCGCACTTCTGATCAAGAATGGTGCAAGTGTTACAGCTGAGGAGAAGAACGGATCGACGGCACTACATCTAGCTTGCGAGAATGGACATGAATCTGTAGCCGCACTTCTGATCAAGAATGGTGCAAGTGTTACAGCTGAGGACAAGGACCGATGGACGGCACTACATGTAGCTTGTCAGAATGGACATGAATCTGTAGCCGCACTTCTGATCAAGAGTGGTGCAAGTGTTACAGCTGAACACAAAGACGGACGAACGGCATTACATCAAGCTTGTCAGGATGGGCATGAATCTGTAGCCGCACTTCTGATCAAGAATGGTGCAAGTGTTACAGTTGAGGACGAGGACGGATGGACGGCACTATATGTAGCTTGTCAGAATGGACATGAATCTGTAGCCGCACTTCTGATCAAGAATGGTGCAAGTGTTACAGCTGAGGACAAGGACGGATGGACGGCACTACATGTAGCTTGTCAGAATGGACATGAATCTGTAGCCGCACTTTTGGTCAATAGTGGTGCAAGTGTTACAGCTGAAGACAAGTACGGATGGACGGCACTACATCGAGCTTGTCAGGACGGACATGAATCTGTAGCCGCACTTCTGATCAAGAATGGTGCAAGTGTTACAGCTGAGGACAAGGACCGATGGACGGCACTATATGTAGCTTGTCAGAATGGACATGAATCTGTAGCCGCACTTCTGATCAAGAATGGTGCAAGTGTTACAGCTGAGGAGAAGGACGGATGGACGACACTACATGTAGCTTGTCAGAATGGACATGAATCGGTAGCCGCACTTCTGATCAAGAGTGGTGCAAGTGTTACAGCTGAACACAAAGACGGACGAACGGCATTACATCAAGCTTGTCAGAATGGAGATGAATCTGTAGCCGCACTTCTGATCAAGAATGGTGCAAGTGTTACAGCTGAGGAGAAGGACGGATCGACGGCACTACATCTAGCTTGTCAGAATGGACATGAATCTGTAGCCGCACTTCTGATCAAGAATGGTGCAAGTGTTACAGCTGAGGACAAGGACGGATGGACGGCACTATATGTAGCTTGTCAGAATGGACATGAATCTGTAGCCGCACTTCTGGTCAATAGTGGTGCAAGTGTTACAGCTGAAGACAAGGACGGATGGACGGCACTACATCGAGCTTGTCAGGACGGACATGAATTTGTAGCCGCACTTCTGATCAAGAATGGTGCAAGTGTTACAGCTGAACACAAAGACGGATGGACGGCATTACATCGAGCTTGTCAGAATGGACATGAATCTGTAGCCGCACTTATGATCAAGAATGGTGCAAGTGTTACAACTGAGGACAAGGACGGATGGACGGCACTACATGTAGCTTGTCAGAATGGACATGAATCTGTAGCCGCACTTCTGATCAAGAGTGGCGCTAGTGTTACAGCTGAGGACGAGGACGGATGGACGGCACTACATCTAGCTTGTCAGAATGGACATGAATCTGTAGCCGCACTTCTGATCAAGAGTGGCGCTAGTGTTACAGCTGAGGACGAGGACGGATGGACGGCACTAGATCTAGCTTGTTTGAATGGGAATGAATCTGTAGCCGCACTTCTGGTCAAGAATTGTGCAAGTATTACAGCTGAGGACAAGGACGGATGGAATAAAGAGTAAATAATAGCCAACTTTAGTACTACTATTACAGTCTGAAGTACGTGTAACAGATGTCGCGTCTCCTTGGGCAAGTGACTTTGTTCGAATTGTCCTTTTTTCCACCCAGCAGTGAGCGGGTACCCGGTAGGATGAGATGGCAATGTGGTTGTTAACCTTCTAGCGCCTAACAGGCAGCTTTGTTTGTATACTCTCCATTGAGCTGAGAATGATTTTTGGGTGAACACTTTTCAATGTCTAAGCTTAGAGTATGCTTGTGCATGGAGAACAGTGCCATTCAAATAACGTGGATTTTATGTCCGCTTTCGGGTTTGATTTTTATTTGTTGCAAGGTCATAGGAGTTGCCTACCATGTCAGTTTTCGCAACTGTCCTTGTTTCATGGACAGAGGTTCATATAAACCATGAAACGTTTACTCAAATACATGTCTGATTTGTATTACTGTCCAATGATATTTAAAATGCTTTGAATAATAAAAAGAAATATTCAGAGAATGTTATTGGTGCCTTTCAGCTAAATTACAAAATGTTATTGAGTTACTTGTGTCTAATACCTGAACATGACCTACTTTCAGTTATGTTATCAATGTCAAATATTGAGTTATAGATTCAGTGCCCAAGGGACGCAACTCTGCACAGCGAATCGCGGCGCATCCGTGCCCCCCGAGTTATAGATTCATGATTGAAATCATTCTTATGGCACCCAATAATTGCTTTTATCCTATGAGTCATAACTGGTTTTGTAAAACTCACAATCCAAGTGCATACCTTTAGAAAAACAATACCATGTTGAACATTTATTCTTTTTTGGATTTTTTAAATAAAACTTTAAATGTTTATACGATTCTGTTAAATCATTTCATCTTCTGGGGAGAAGAGGTGGCCTAGTGGTTAAAGTGTCCGTTCGTTCTGGGAGTTTGATTCCCCACATTGGTACATTGTGTGAAACTCAAGGCTGGAATACTAAAAATAAGATTGTGTTCTTTAATCCGATTGGTTGAAAAACATGATTTACATCAGTTTGTCTGACTGATAACTGAACTTACTTAAATTAAATTTAAAATGAATAAGTTACCAAGACTAGAACACGCGTACGCCAGCAGACAAAATATCCGGCCCGTGAAGAGAATTAGAATTAGGTCTTCAGCAAACAATGCCTGCTCATAGAGTCGCAAGCTCCGACGTTCATACAGTTTGGCCCTACACTCTATGAAGGTTCATACTCCAATGAACTCGCACAAAGTGAAGATCAATTCTTAATTGAATGCATTGAATTTCATTTCCAAAATATAAACCACATAGTGACCAAGAATTACATCCATCGGGCACTCACATTAAAAAAAGGAAGCCAAATTCTTGGGAATAAGTTTTGAAGACCATCTTAATTTCTAGCCATATGTTAAAAATCTTAGCAAATGGCTGAAGGAACTGGATTTATCAGGTCGGGGAAAACCCCCAACTGGTGACAATGAACCCAACTGGTGACAATGAACCCAACTGGTGACAATGAACCCAACTGGTGACCATGAACCCAACTGGTAGAATAAACTGGTCCTGTGTGGCTACAAAAACCTTGCGGTGTTTTGTCCGTGCGTTGTCTGTACTACTTGGCGCATGATGGTGCGTATAAAATTCATTATGAAAACTTCTTTCATTCATCGATTCTTATAATATTACCCCGTTTGTTGCGCAGGTTATTGTGAACCCGAGTACCTCTTCGCCATTTGGACGGTTCATTCGCGTTACGCCGACTTTCAGAAAAGATTATTCGCGTTACGCGGTTTTTCTTTGATGTGTGCGTGTTATGTTAACACACGAGGTTGTTACAAGCAAGCAATGAATGGTGTTTTTGGATGGTGTTCACGACACATTCTAACAGTAGAAACAACAGATTTATGATGCATTTTGTGTCGTTTATTCCACACATTATATAGTATCAAAAGCAGCGACATGACAAATTTCAATTTGGTACAACGAACAGAACATGATTTACATGAATTATTACATTTTTTTAACTTAATTAGAATGGCTGATGCAACATCGGCACAGTGGACGATGTCGATTTCTTGCCTCTCCAGCCTCATCTTCAAATTGGCGATCTTGCGGTCGACTTCTGAGTATTTCTTCTTCTTGGGAGGTCTCTTCTGAACTGCTTCGTACTGCGCTCTGAATTTCCGAGGACTTCTGCTCTTTGGAAAGGAAGGTAATCATCTCGAAAATGTTGGGATGTGCCTTTCACGTGATCTTCAGTCGACTGTGCCATCCCTCCAGGTAGTTGTTTGTACGTGGCCCATCATTGTTGAAGTGGTTCCACTGGTTGATGTGGAGATCGCACTCGATCCACTTGCTGGTCATGTAGTCTGCAAGTCTTTGACATCTTTCATCGTCTAGAACGCGCTCCATTAGGTCAAGGAAGTAGTCTTCAACCTTAAGATAAAAATGTAATCCTGTCAGTTTCACACATTAACATGCATATTGAATATATTACACATTAACATGTATATTACGTATATCAAGTTAATAGAGTCTAATCTAACGGTCTGGTTACTACTTACATTGCCAACAGGAATGAGTGGCATTATTGCACACTGCTTGACGAACTTTGTAATCTCTGGTCTGTCAGTATAGTCTTTCTGCATGTTGCACTGTTGGGTCTTCCGCCATACACACTGGGCAAAGTGGAAGAAGCATCCCTTCCATGTGGCACGAGGAAACCGCGATATGGCAGCATTCCTGGCAGCGACTTCGAAGTCCATCTGATGAAAATAAATTAAAATTTATTATGATTTTTAAAGTTTATTTTGACCCCAAATGTCTAAAGGTCGGCGTAACGTGAAGACACCATTTGGACACATTCTGTGCTTTAAATCAGTCAAAAACACTAAATTGAAAGTCAAAAATTACCTGAAATGTACTTTGTCAACCACTCTCTCCGTCCACCATGCTTCCTACTCTGACCCGCCACCTGCAGTCCAGGCAGTCAGGTAACGCCCAATTCGGGCCTTGGCGTCAGTGATCAATGGAAATTTTTTGAAATAGTTCGCGCTGCATTGCTAAAAGTGGCAATAAGTGTAGGCAATTCATAGTCTTTGTGCTGTATCATAATGTTTTTATGGACATTTAACTGTTGAATATACATGTGTATGTATTACAAATAAATTTCGTTGTTATTTATGAAAAGAAGTATAAAATATTGTTATGTTGGTAAAATTTGTTTCAGGATGTTAAAGTAAAAAAATCCACAAAGAGGAATCAATGGCAGTGGGTGGGCTTTTCTGACTCTTTGCGATCTTCTGGCGTAATGAAGAGTTTCTTCACTGTGGGTCTTCCACCCTTTTCTAGAAGATTCTCCTTAATCATTATTTCTCTGAAATAATTTCGGAAATAAATGTCACTATTTTCCTAATAAACACAAAAAATAATCTGTGTATGTGTGTGTGTGCGTGTGCGTGTGCGTGCGTGCGTCAGAGTCAGAGAAAATGGCGTCGTGCCACTGCTATACATCTGGATCTAACACGTGATTTTGTCCAGGCCTGTCAGGTGGGGTGTGCAAGGGCTTGCCTCTAAATGCTTGCTTTTTCTAAGCCAAGATCTCCACCCTGCTATCTCCGGCGACAGGGAATTGTCAGTAGCTCATCACCAACTGGCATCAGTATGTTGGTTTTCATCTGTTATACAAAATTATTGATTATAGAAGCCTACTTGGAGATCAGAGGATCTGATGCAAGTGATCCCCATCAGATGGCCACACCGGGGTATCAATGAGTCCCAAAGGTATTTCACATGTTGTGATATACTATAAATTTTACAAACTTTTACAATCAATTTAAAACACATTATGTAGGTTTAATGAACCGCAAATATGCATATATTAATGTTTTCATTTTCTTCCAGCTTAACAAACGCGTTCCAATTAACAATGAAACGATTCATTTAATGAAACCCACACATCTTTCGCAAACTCAGGCTGCACCAATTTCAACAACCTCGCATGTTAGTACCCAAACTCCTGAACCGCTTCCAACACTGTATGGTCAACTTCAAACCCCAAACATCTACTTCTATCACTTACCCCGAGTCAAGAACTCCCACGGTTGAAACCACAACTGACATCACAAAAAGGTCCAACAAAAGACGTAAACAAAAACAAAGCAGTCATAACCAAACTATTTGTCCTATTTGTGACAGTTTATATGGGTGCACTGTGGACAATAATGCCAAGTGGATTGGTTGTGACTAAAAGGAAACCCTTTGCAATTATTGGGTGCATTGGGAATGCATCGGGATTTACGTCAGGAAAGTGGCTGATTTACAAAACATCACCTATCAATGCCCAGAGCATAACAAAATTGAAAGGTGTAAATAAAATGAAGATTATTAAGATGATTTTGGTTATTTTTGTCCCAAAAAAGTTTTTTTGTGCATAATACTTGTTTTTATATTAAAAACATCCATTAGAATCGGATTCGAACTCGTATTCCCTTCACCCGCAGTCAGCGACGTTACCAAATGAGCTAAACTGCACATGTGAATGGAGCAGAATTAAAAGTACATACTTAAACCTTCTTAAAACATTATTTAACTTTACAGACGTAGGTCATTTTAAAACATTCCACAGACTTTTGCGTACAATTTAAGTGATTGGTTTATGGCCCCATGTAGTTTTATCTGACCATCACGTCGAAAGCGTGTTGCGGATCAAGGAAATACGCTTTAAATAAATCAAGTTAAAATCTAAATATATACTTTTTCAAAAGAAGTTAAGAAGACTATGGTTAATTAGTCAAGGCTGATTGTATTGCAAACTACAATCTTATAAATGTGGGTGTTCTATAACTTGTTTTCGGTAGTGTATGATGTTACAGTATGTCATACTAATGTCCGTAAATATTCATTTTGACATGTGCTGTATGATCAATTTGAATTGTGTCTCTTGTTTTATGCACATCTACAAGTATATGTACTTGCATATAGTAATTTGATAAACACCGCTGTGAGTGAGAA